AGAACAAATCCTTAAACATGAATAAACAGAAACATAGAATTCTAATAATAATAATCATTCTAATAATAATACTCATAGCGCCCAAAACCACAACAGACATTCAAAAATAAACTAATCAATCAAAACTCAAAATACTGGGTCGAAACTGACCCAGAACCGTGACAGGCCTATTACCAACATGGGTTGATGACGACCTGGCGGTTAATGAACATCAGCATGTGGCTTAAATCCCTCTGGCTTGATTGCCTTCAATTGGCAAAAGGTTTGCAGGAGCTGGAGGAGGTGGCCCTGCCCAGGGGCGGATCCCAGGTAGGTTCAGGAGCCTCATGGAAATTCCAGCCACTCACCGCAGACCATGACAGAACCACCTCAACTGGCTCCTTTCGATGTGAAGGAGCAGTGGCTCTACTCTGAGCCGCTCCCGAATGGCCGAACTTCTCACCCTATCTCTAAGGGAGAGGCCAGCCACCCTTCGGAGGAAGGCTGTTTCCGCCCCTTGTATCCACAGTCTCGTTCTTTCGGTCACTACCTACAGCTCGTGACCATGGGTGAGGGTAGAGACGTAGATCGACTGGTAAATTGAGAGCTTCGCTTTCAGACTCAACTCTCACTTCACCACAACAGACCGGTACATGGTCCGCAGCACTGCAGACGCAGCACGAATCCGTTTGTTGCTCTCCCGTTCCCTTCTCCCATTACTTGTGAACAAGACCGCAAGATAGTTGAACTCCTCCACTTGGGGCAGGAACTCATTCTTGACCCGGAGTGGGCACTCCACCCTTTTCCGGCTGAGGACCATGGCCTCGGATTTGGAATTGCTGATTCTCATTCCCACCGTTTCACACTCGGCTACGAAACGTTCCAAGGTGAGCTGGAGGTCATCACCCGATGAAGCCAACAGAACCACATCATCTGCAAAAAGCAGAGATGAGATCCTGAGACCACCCAAGTGAAAGCCTTCTGCCACTTGGCTATGCCTAGATATTCTGTCCATAAAAATTATGAACAAAATAAGTGACAAAGGGCAGCCCTGATGGAGCCCATTGCCCCCCCAGGACGAGTCCGACTTATTGGTTATTGCTATGTGGACCAAGGTCTTGCAACAGTTATATAAAGACTGAATGGCCCGTAGCAATGGGCCAGACACCCTATACTCCCAGAGCATGCCCCACACCACACGAGTCCCTGAGGGATACGGTCGAATGCCTTCTCCAATCAATCAATCCAGGCTTTATTCACCACATGCAGGTTGCCCTACAGTGAAATGGGACCCTTCCCCCTACCTTACACACACAACACAGACATCACATGGGGATACAAGTCGGAGATCGGTAGCAGTACAGAAAAAACACTGAAATGTACACTACAATGGCAAAGTACAAGAGGAAAAAAGAGACCTCTACTTGTGCTGGGGTCCTATGGGAGGACAGCATGAGAACAGGAAACCAAAAAACTCCTCTGCACAAAAAGCACATAAATGTCCACATCACAACATTATGGAACACGTGACAAGCCACAGGGTTGGGTGGGGGTGAGGAGTAATCCGAGGCAAACACAGCAGCCATCCTGCCCTGCGCTATTATTCCAGCACGGGCCCAGACCCGCCGTGTTCTCCAGGAGGGAACAAGCATCGAAGGCGTTAGGAGAGGGAGGGGGGATGAGTGAGTGCGTATCAGTGTATGTGTATGTGTGTGCATGTCCAGAGCTCAGCTGAGACAGTGTCCTTTGCCCTGCCAGGCTAAGTAAACAGTCTTCCAGCCAACCCAGGTGGCCTTGCATGGAATGGAAAGAACAGTCTAAACACAGTCGTTATTAGGGTGTTTTTGTTCAGCTCCAGCCTTGAGCCCGCAGCGTGTGCCGAAGGGATAGCCGCATTATGATGGTGGTTTTTTTCTTTAGTGCGAACAACTCATGAGAATTTCGAGCTGTTCTTAACAGTCCGACACTGGTCTCTCAATCTCCCGTTGGAGAGCTGTGAGCTTCTCCATGATGTTATCAAACTTACGCTCTGTGATGTTGTCATTCTTGTGCTCAAAGAGCAGATTCTGAGAGCTCTCGACCGCAGTGAGCTGCTCCAAGATGTAATCCAACTTGCACCCAGAGGTCTTATTCTGAGTATTCAGGGCACCCGTAAGCTTCTCCAAGATCTTATCCATGCTGCACTCAATGAGCCCATCCTGAGAAGTCACGCCTTGTCCCATTGTTTCAATCCCAGCGGGCAGCCTTGTGGGGGTTTGAACAGCCGGTTCCACTTTCTTAATTCTTCGATAAGCCAAGGCCAAGCCAGCTCCGATCAGCAAGAACCCTATTATCATGGTTCCGAAAAGGTAGATGTCTTCAATGTCCTAAATCGACAGTCCTGCCAGGCACACGACCCTCCAGTTATGCCACCCGTCCATCGTGTATCCGGCAGGGAAAGTACCTCCAGAACACTCAGGCTCACCTGAGCCTGGACTTCTCGTTGAGAAAAGGGTGTCAATAGCATTCAGGGACCAGTTGATCAAATCCATAATTCTCTTTTAGGTTTTAGAGAACATACTGTGAGAGAGCGTTCCAGGGAAAAGTAATACAAAAAAGATGAGACTACACAAGGACATAAGAGCTAAGCAGGAAAGATAAGGGAGAGGAGGAGACAAGAAAAGTGTGACCGCATTTGCCAAGAGCCAAACGAGAAGTCCACAAAACACGTGTAGAGTGGTTGGGAAAACTCCCATGCACCCTCAAGGATCCTTGAGAGGAGGAAGAGCTTGTCCAGTGTTCCATGAACAGGACGAAAACTGCATTGTTCCTCCTGTATCCGAGGTTCGACCTACGGACAGACTCTCCTCTTCAGCACCCATGCATAGACTTTCCTAGGGAGGCTGAGGAGTGTGATTCCTCTGTAGTTGGAACACACCCTCTGGGTGAATAGAATAGATCTGCTTCCAATAATATGAGGAGATTACTACACCTGCTGTGGCTGAATAGAAATGACACAAATCTTGTATTGGCTATATCTTTAGATGCACAGAAGGCTTTTGATAGGGTGGAGTGGAACTTTTTACTTACGGCCCTAGAAAAAATTGGAATAGGTGACAACTTTTGCAGATGGATTATAACCATATATTCGGGGCCAGAAGCAGTGGTATTTACGAAAGGGGTGCTTTCTCCTTTTTTAGTAGTTCCAGATCAACATGCCAAGGGTGTAATTTAAGTCCACTGTTATTTACCGTTTTGTTTTTTTTGTTTTTTAGAACCACTAGCTAATCAAATTAGAGAAAATCAAGAGATTAAAAGTGTATTCAGGGGAGGCAGAGAACACAAATTGTTCCTCTCCAAAAGTTGATTCTGTTCATCTGGACGTAGCGTTTTCAGTGGAAGAAACGTCACTTGTCACTCATCCAAGTGGCTTCTTCAGTCTCAGCTGACTGCAGGTTTCCCCAATCTTATAAACAGTACATTTGCATAATGTACCGTATTGTTGACTGCAAATGTACTGTTTATACGATTGGGGAAACCTGCAGTGAGCTGTGACTGAAGAAGCCACTTGGATGAGTGACAAAACGTTTCTCCCACTGAAAATGCTACGTCCAGATGAACAGAATCAATTTTTGGAGATTTACTTACCTGGATGATTGAGCATGCATCAAGACAAATTGTTCCTCTATGCAGTTGACTTTCTGGTATTAAGTCAAGACCCTACTAATTCCGGGGTACAAAATCAAGTGGCATAAATCAGGAGTAATGCCAGTTTCCCAAGCTTGTAGTCATAATCTAATATCGGGATTTAACTTTAAGTGGGTGGACAAAGGAATGAAGTATCTTGCAATTGAATTGAACCCAAATATTGAGGATATTATGGCTAACAGTATAGGGAAATTAATAAACAAAATCAATAAAAACCTGGGTAAATGGAGTAAACAAAATTTGACATTGTAGGGGGAAAGTAAACACTGTAAAAATGGTTGTATAGCACCACTTATCAACATTAATCGTCTGTCCCATCCAAAAAAAGAAGGGGGATTAGCCCTGCCCAATATAGAGTATTATAGCATCTCTTCTGAAATGGCTAGATTAGGCAAACATTGGGCAGGGAAAACCGATATAGATTGGATTTTAATAGAACAAGAGCTTGCATCTCCATTCACACCAATCGATATTTCATCACAAAAAGTAAATAAAGAGGGTAAGACACAAAATTCTATTTAAAATTTTTTCAAAAATGGTATTGTTGGAGGTGCATAAGAAATATAAACTTGTGCCATATGTACAGAAGTATGTCCCCTTGTGGTATTCCTAAAATGAAAATCGGTAAGTAGACTGTTTACCACGCACAATGGTTAAGAGGTATCAGAACTATAATAATAATACATATTTGTTTGGATAGTAACGGCCATTTTTGTAAGTATTTACAAATAAGAAAGTGTTCAAAAGTAAGAGTTACAATAACACACACTGTAGCGCTGTAGCCGCGCAAGATAGGCCTGCGGGTGTTACCTTTGCCAGCTACTTGAGACAAAAAGAAGGGCGCAACAACAAATAACTTAAGCCTCTTGGGACTTTTGCGCTCTTGGGGATTAAAAACACATCAACCATCGGTTGAAAGAAAGGCATCACTGCGGCTTCGCTCTCGGGATAGTCAGGGTACTTTAGAAGTGTTGCAACACCGTTTTATTTCTAAAGGGTGAACGTTATTTGCGATATTTAAAAAAAACTGGTGCGCTCTGTCTCCCTCTTGGATCACCCCATTCCGAAATTCAGATTTTGAAATAAAATGGTCAAATCGTCTAGTGATGAGGATCCCTGGTAGGTCCGTAAAATGAGGTATGATTAAATTAAACAGTTATGAACAGTCATGAAACATAAATTTTCCCATACAGAATAAATCCCGATTAGAAGCATTTTTTTAAATAAAATGATTGGTGAAACGTCATTAGAACCAAGATTAGGAAACACCTTTGTATGATGTAAATAAACTTAAAAAGCCGTTATGCCATTTCAGGGTTGTCAAGGCAATAGAATAGGTATATTACTACTTATGTCAAACGCAGTAAGATGAGCTGAAGCACAGATGTGAAGAGCTGATGTTCATCAGATTATGACATCACTCTGTTTTGTCTTCATATACATTCAGTCTGTGTTTATAATGCAGATTTCTGCTTTTATAATAACACATTTTATATTTTGTTCCAATCACAGACTGACGTATTGTCGACTCTCAGAGACTCACTTTGAAGTTGTGGCCTCAGCTCTGAAGTCCAACCCCTTCGATCTGAAAGAGCTGGACATGAGTGGAAACCCGCTGCAGGATTCAGCAGTCAAGCATCTGTGTGATGTACTGGAGAGTCCGAACTGCCAACTGGAAACTCTGAGGTCAGTTCACTCACTGCAGCTGTTGGTATTTTACTATATTTTAGATATTTAACTGATGTTTAAAACTTTCTTCAATTCAGTGGTGACGAGCTTCTGTGGAAACAGAGAGAGATGGCTAAGATTAAGAAAGGAAAGACATGAATGGTATCAGAAGCTGATATGGCTGCTACAGAGAAAACCCACACAGAGGAACACAGAGCAGCCTAACACAGGCCCAAACATGACAACAAAGCAGGATTTAGGCTCTGTTAGAGGATTTCAAACAGAAGCTGGAAAAGAGAAAGTCAAAGTTAAATTTATTCATATAGAACATTTTAAACAAAAACTGTTGACCAAAGTACTGTACATTTAAAATAATAAAAAGAGATAAACGCATAGGAAGACATCACAAAATTTAGGAAAAGAAGGTTAACATGAGATGTTTTGAGTAAGAAATAAGACCAAAAAAAAGGAGTACGAACTCATTCTGATTTAAAAGCCAAGGAATAAAAGTGGGGTTTCAAATGGATTTCGAAAGTGTCTATTGTTGGGGAGGTCCATCTGAGGTTGAATCTCAGGTGGTTCTTCAAATCAGTTGTGTGTTAATACAACCAGGGAGTGATGCCAGGGTCAGAGTAGAGCTTAGTGGTTTCTATTTAGAGCTATAATCGTTATTTTATTGAGCAATTCTGAACATTTTCTATTTGTTCTCAGCTTGAATTTATTTTGTAAACTATGAATTATGGTGACCACTGACATCTTTTTATTTATTTATATATTGTTTCATTTTTTTTAATATTTCAGACTTAGTGACTGTAAAATCTCAGAGAGAAGCTGTGAAGAGCTGTCCTCAGTTCTAAGATCCCAGACCTGTAGTCTTAGAGAGCTGGACTTGAATAACAACAATCTACAAGATTCGGGAGTGAGGTGTTTGTCTGCTGCACTGCAGAGTCCAAATTGTACGCTGGAAACACTGAGGTCAGATCCAAGGATATTTATTTTTCATCAAATGTCATAATTAGTCAATTAAAACTTTTAGCTAATAAATGTCAGCTTCATCCATTTGTTGTTGTTTTCGTATTTTTATTTTTTCTAAATCACAGTAAATTTCCACATTTGTGATGTGTATTAACTAATGGAATAACAATTCCAACATATCTTAAACAACATTAAATATTATATTTATTTGTATTAAATATTGCATTATAGTTATATTAATATGATAAGCTAGCACTTCCGAGCCTCCAGAACATGAGGACAATGGCTGGACGGGCTCACCTGAGCCTCCAGCGAGGTCAGGTTGGGTCCTGGGCACCCGTACCCTGGGTGCTGGGACAGACAGCTAGCTGGACAACAGCCACCCACGACCAGTTGCAGGAGTAGCTGCCCTCGCCCTGGGAGCTGACATAGGAACGGGTTGTGGTTGGGTGTCAGCTGCCCCCTCCCAAGGGACTGGCACGGGTGCGGGGACGCCCGACGAGGTGGTACAGGGACAGGCTGAGAGATAGGTGAAGCAATAATGACCGGATAAGAAGGATTATTAATGTTGCATGAATGTTCTTAATGGGAGCCTCAGAGGGTAAAAAAAAGTGCGACGGCTTGAGCCTCGCCTCCCTTTGGCAGAAAAAGCAGGAACGCTGAGCGACAGAGCCTCCATCAAGCCGAGAGCGGTGGTGGAGCCGTTCCACCACAGTTGGAAGCGCTGGTGAGTGAATTGGCTGGTGAGTGAGCAAGGAGCGGAGCAGCGAGCGAGTGAGCAGCAGAAGCTCAGCGAGTGATGCCAACTCTCCACGGCAATTGCTTGTATGCAGGTGAGGCAGCAGGTGGAGGACCACAGCGTCTCTGAGGCCCGCCCAGAGCCAGACGAGTCCCCTTGAAGATGTGATCATTCTCCAAGGAGTGCCGCTGTTTCCCCCTGAGCTTCTCCACCTAAAGCCCACATAGCAAAATTGTTATGGCCCAGATCTGGCCCACACACTGCAAAGAAGGACCGCCCTTTGGTGGCCCAGATCTGGTTTGCCAGATGTGGCCCACACATGGGCCAGCACAAGGCCAGTTGCAGACACACTGGTGGTCCTGTGCTGGCCCAGAACAGTTTCAGCTCTGGCCCCAGATGTCAGCCTAATGTGTACCTTAATCAAGCCGTGTAATAACAACATGTGCCGGAACGTAATAGTGCAAAAGTAACATGATTGCTCAGACACTGAATGAACTGATTCTTTTAAAGTGCTTTTCTGCTCTTCCGGATTACTCAAAGAGCTCTATACAACATGCCACTTTCACCCAAGCACACAATTTCTCTAAACTGAGTGCTGCCTAACTACAGCCACACACATTCTCACTCTTGACATGCAGACTGGAAGAGCACTACACTCTGCCATGATCTGGGCTAGACCTGTTTTCTATGGGCCTGGGCCACATAAACCAAACCACAATCGAGCCAGATATGGCATGCCATCACGTAGCCAGTGCCATCTATGCCAGGCCTGGCCCATATCTGGATGACATACCACTTACCAGCAGTGCTGGCTTGGTACCAGATCTGTGCCAGACCTGTCTGCTATGTGGGAGGGAGAATGCTACTTCCTCCTGCTCGAATAAATCTGGGTCCGCTGGGTCCCTAGTGTGTACTTGTGGCACGGAGCTTGTCATTCTGTCAAGTGTCGGGGTGTGGAGAGAAGGACTAGAGAACCCAAATGTAGGACTCACAGTTGGTGAGGAATTAAAATTGAGGTTTATTATAATCACAGGGTGAACAGAACATGAAATTGAATAGATGATTGATTAACTGACTGGCTGACTGAATGAATGGCTGGTTGGCTGAACAGAAAACACACACACGGAGTAGATGATGACAAGACAATGAGCTGGAGGAAACTAAGGAGTTAAATGCACTGAATAATGATGATGATTAGAGACCAGTGAGTACACAGTTGAATAAAAACAAAATAAACAAAAACTAATGACAGAGGAACTAGAACACAATGTACAGAGACTACTAAAGAGCTAACATAATAAAACAGGAAATGTGAACATATGGAAACTGAAGAGAGAACCTGAATAAACTGAAAACACTGGGTCACGACCAGAGATGGGCAGTAACGCGTTAAAAAAAGTAATCGGATTACAGTAACGCGTTACTGTAATCCGATTACTTTTTTCAAGTAACGAGTAAAGTAAGGGATTACTATTGCAAAAAAGGTAATTAGATTACTGTTACTTTCCCATTAGCACGCTGCGTTACTATGTTACTAAAACCGTGATTTTTTTTTGCGAGAATGTCTCATAACAATGACATAGGCGAGTGCGACGTTCGTGACAACAGCTGTGTGCAGATCAACAATGGATAATATATCGAGTGAGGGAGAGAGTATGAGCGTGCAGCGTTTAAAGTACTTACCTTACTTTGAGTTTGATTCCATAAAAAGTGACAGAAACATTAGCGTCCATTATGCGTGGGAAGAAAACTTCTTTTTACAGCGTAAAAAACCCTCCTAAACTTCCAAGCAAGCACCGAGTGCGCTACCACGGAATGGGAAATTCACAGAGAAACTCGTGGATTCTTCCACTGACCACTGCAGCACACCTGCACCAGGGCAACTATCCGCCTGCTATACAGGTGAAAATAGAGCAACAGGACCGCTGTGTCTTTGATTTTATTTATTTTCTCCTGTGTTTCACTTGCATTCATTTGAAAGACTGAGTGTAAACACAAAAAATATTTTCTTTTATTTTATGTGCTGGAATGTGCAGAAAATAGGTTTAAATATTAAACAAATTTCTTCCAAGCAGAGAATGTTGCATATAATTACATTTTTTGCTTGAAGCATAAAGTTAAAAGATTAAAACTAATAAAACAAGTTTTAAAAAGAGACTTTTCCATTTGATTACATTTTGTTTGATGGATTATGCAGAAAAAGTAGAATCAGGCTGAAAGATCTATTTCTATATTACCTATTCAGGTTATAAATCATGTTTTTAAAAAGTAACTAAGTAACTAAGTAATTAATTACTTTTGAAAACAAGTAATCAGTAAAGTAACAGGATTACTTTTTGGGGGAAGTAATTAGTAATTAGTTACTGATTACTTCTTTCAAGTAACTTGACCAACACTGGTCACGACCCAGGAATCCTGACATAATATACAGTAGCTAAGTTGAACTGAATGGATCAAATTAATGAGAGTTATCATGCATGAGAAAATGAAAAATAAAGACAAAAATTTAGTGAAATGTTTACTTGTTAATTGTTTTCTGTGTCCGCAGTCTATCAGGCTGTCTGGTTACAGAAGAAGGCTGTGCATATCTGGCTTTAGCTCTGCTCTCCAACCCTTCCCATTTAAGAGAGCTGGACCTGAGATACAATCATCCAGGAAACCAAGGAATGAAGCTGCTGTTGACTGTACTGAAGCATCCAGGCAACAGACTGGACACTCTCAGGTATGCAGAGAGTTAATCTGGTTAAGATCGGTACAGAGAAAAACATAGGACATATTTATCCTAGATTACCACAAATGGAAGCAGTGGACACTGGAAGGAGTGGAAGGTGTTAGCCTTGCTCAAAAAATAAATAAATAATAATAATCAATTAATTAATTAATTAATACATTTTTAAAATTTATATAGCACCTTTCTAGACAGAATCACAAAGTGCTGCACATAAGATAACAAATAATAAAAGGGTAACACAGACAATATAAAACAGGCACAAATTTAACCAAAAACAGTTTTTAAAAGGTGAGTTTTGAGTTGTTTTTTTAAAACAACTACCGAGTCTACAGTTGTTTAACCCTTTAAGACCTACCATAGAACCAAGTCCGCCAGAGCTTACTTTATATTTTTACATGCTGTAGTGCCATTTTTGGGAGCATTCCAAGTTGCTATACATCAATACAACTGTTATAGTCAAAATTTTAATACTATGTAGGCATTAAGTCTATAGTAAACACATACATTGCAAAAAAGTGCAATAAACTACAAAAAAATTGAAAATCGTTTTTGGTTTTTTTTTACATATATTTCTACTTAGAGAAATTTAAGAGGTTTATGCCTCAAAACCGTAAATACAAAAAAGTTGTAAAAAATAATTGACAACAACAGGAAATTTATTTTGAGTGTCTTCATAGTTTTATTTTTAAACTACACCAATTTTTATATACTGCAGGGAAAAAACGAAAACATAAATATTATAATGCAAATTTACAAAGAGAACAGCATCAAAATAATCTATTTAAAGCAGTGCAATTTGAGTTCTAAGCATCCCAGAAACTATTCAGAAAAGCAGGAAGTCAAACATGACTTTTAAAAACACCAGTATAGGCTTATAAGGCCTATAAGTAAAAAACTACTGTGGAACCCGAGACTGTGGAGCTCGCTCCCTCATACATTAACCCTTTAAAGCCGGTCAGAGCGGGCATGCTCCATTTTGCGTAACTACAGGTCCTTCTCAAAAAATTAGCATATTGTGATGAAGTTCATTATTTCCTGTAATGTACTGATAAACATTAGACTTTCATATATTTTAGATTCATTACACACAAATGGAGTAGTTCAAGCCTTTCATTGTTTTAATATTGATGATTTTGGCATACACAACTCACGAAAACCCCAAATTTCTATCTCAAAAAATTTGCATATCATGAAAAGGTTCTCTAAACGAGCTATTAACCTAACCATCTGAATCAACGAATTAACTCTAAACACCTGCAAAAGATTCCTGAGGCTTTTAAAAACTCCCAGCCTGGCTCATTACTCAAAACCGCAATCATGGGTAAGACTGCCGACCTGACTGCTGTCCAGAAGGCCATCATTGACACCCTCAAGCAAGAAGGAGACACAGAAAGAAATTTCTGAACAAATAGGCTGTTCCCAGAGTGCTGTATCAAGGCACCTCAGTGGGAAGTCTGTGGGAAGGAAAAAGTGTGGCAGAAAACGCTGCACAACAAGAAGAGGTGACCGGACCCTGAGGAAGATTGTGGAGAAGAACCGATTCCAGACCTTGGGGGACCTGCGGAAGAAGTGGACTGAGTCTGGAGTAGAAACATCCAGAGCCACCGTGTACAGGCGTGTGCAGGAAATGGGCTACAGGTGCCGCATTCCCCAGGTCAAGCCACTTTTGAACCAGGAACAGCGGCAGACGCGCCTGACCTGGGCTACAGAGAAGCAGCACTGGACTGTTACTCAGTGGCCCAAAGTACTTTTTTCGGATAAAAGCAACTTTTGCATGTCATTCGGAAATCAAGGTGCCAGAGTCTGGAGGAAGACTGGGGAAAGGGAAATGCCAAAATGCCTGAAGTCCAGTGTCACGTACCCACAGTCAGTGATGGTCTGGGGTGCCATGTCAGCTGCCGGTGTTGGTCCACTGTGTTTTATCAAGGTCAGGGTCAATGCAGCTAGCTATCAGGAGATTTTGGAGCACTTCATGCTTCCATCTGCTGAAAAGCTTTATAGAGATGAAGATTTCATTTTTCAGCACGACCTGGCACCTGCTCACAGTGCCAAAACCACTGGTAAATGGTTTATTGACCATGGTATTACTGTGCTCAATTGGCCTGCCAACTCTCCTGACCTGAACCCCATAGAGAATCTGTGGGATATTGTGAAGAGAAAGTTGAGAGACGCAAGACGCAACACTCTGGATGAGCTATCGAAGCATCCTGGGCCTCCATAACGCCTCAGCAGTGCCACAGGCTGATTGCCTCCATGCCACGCCGCATTGAAGCAGTCATTTCTGCAAAAGGATTCCCGACCAAGTACTGAGTGCATAACTGAACATAATTATTTGAAAGTTGACTTTTTTTGTATTAAAAACACTTTTCTTTTATTGGTCGGATGAAATATGCAAATTTTTTGAGATAGGAATTTTGGGTTTTCATGAGTTATGTATGCCAAAATCATCAATATTTAAACAATGAAAGGCTTGAACTACTTCAGTTGTGTGTAATGAATCTAAAATATATGAAAGTCTAATGTTTATCAGTACATTACAGGAAATAATGAACTTTATCACAATATGCTAAATTTTTGAGAAGGACCTTTATTTTTAAATCCCGGTAGAACTGCAACCATGTAAGCTAGCACAATAACTTTTTTTGCATATGAAACCGGAGGAGTTGTACTTACACCTTATGCCATCAGCTTGTCCTAGGTCACAGTTTCCTTCCACATATAGCTTTGCAAAAACAGCATAAAAAGCACTTGCAGCAACAAAAACATAATATTCCAGAAACACGCTTTGCTGATCCAATCAGCTGTTCGTAACACTTCCTACATTGGAATAGACATCAGTGCGAACTATCACATGTCCGCCATTACCTGCCCGAAAGCGGAAGTGACGTCATTTTCGCGGAAATGTAGTTTTTTTTTACCTTCAGGCCCTTATAAGCCTCTATTGGTGTTTTTAAAAGTTATGTTTGACTTTATGACTTTCTGTATCGTTTCTGGGATGCTTAGAACTCAAATTGCACTGCTGGAAATAGTTTGTTTTGATGCATATGCTGGGGTTTTTTGGGGTTTTTTGCAAATTCGCATTATAATATTTATTTTCGTTTTTCTTTTCTTTTTATTTTTGGTGTAGTTCAAAAATAAAACTATGAAGACACTAAATAAATAAATTTCCTGTGGTGGGAAACTATTTTGTGCAACTTTTTTGTATTTACAGTTTTGAGGGATAAGCTCTTAAATTTCTGTAACTTTAGAAAAACAAAAACCATTTTCAATTTTTTTGTAGTTTATTGCACTTTTTTGCAATTTATGCAACTACTTTGCACTTAATGCATACAGATTATTTGTCACGGCTGGGGCAGCAGTCGTGTTGTGGAATGAAAGGAGGACCCAAAATGCAGGCAGCCGACTGATGATATGAGTGAGAGTTTATTTACAGGTGACAGTGGCAGGAACAGACAACGAATCATGAGACATATTAACGGAAATCTAAACTGGGAAAACTAAAGAGCAACTAGAAATCCTCAGGGCACGGGGTGAAAGGCAGAGAGACGCAGACTGACGGAGGATACCAAAAACGCAGAGATACACAGATGAACACAGACGAGCCGACAATGAACACAGACCGACACCCACTAAATATACACACACAAGGTAATCGGGTAATCACACAGGAGGGAAGAACAGCTGAACCCAATACACATGAGGACCGGAGGAGACAAGCTGAACACAATGACAACAGACACAGACTTTCAGAACAAAACAGGAAATCTAGAACCCGAACCGGACACAAGGGGGGAGGACACAGAATAACTAGAACAGAGGGACATAATCATAAAACACAAAACGCTGGGCCAACGACTCAGGACCATGACAGCACCCCCCCTCCAAGGGCTGGCTCCAGACAGCCCAAAACAAAAACAGACGACCAACCCAGGACGGGCGGCGGGGGGCCCAGGACGGAGGGACCAA